GCGCTGATTTCGCCTTGGACGAGGATTTTTAACATTTAGTTCGAAAATGTAGCTCTGTTGTTGCCGGCACTACCCCATTATGCGTACGTTGATGATATTACCAGTTTTCATAGTAGCTGGTCGTTAATGGCTCATACCATCTCTTCAGCAACAATTGCAAAATTAGTACTGTACTGCCGTATGCAGTAGTCGAGACGTCTCAATCTCGCCGTGTGACCCGTACGAAAGTACCGGGCCAGTGGTTGCTCGTGCATGTTTATAATCAACCATGGAGGTTTCAGTGATTTGTTGAAGAAGTATATTGATCAGTGGCTTTGAATTTGGTTGTTGTGTTGGGTGCGGGTGTGCCTGAATCGGACCTGTTTTGTATCTTTTGGCGTTGAACCAGCATATCTTTCAGTTTCATTTACTCGTAAATCTACTAATGTTGTCCAAGTTGTCCAACACTGGGCTGCAAATGAGCCATAGGTCGATCGTGACTTTGGCCAATGTCGCATCGGCTAGTGCAAGGTGCCCTACTCCACCCCCTGGAACGAGGCGAATACTGAGGTAGGGTAAATGGGGTTTTCTCAGTGTGTGCTTTTAGTATTGTTTCAGGCCTTGGGTTTCCGGAACCCCGACGAGTGCCTTCATGGCCGCATTCAGCAGCGCTGCGGGCAACGATCAATCTGTTGCCACTCATGAATTCAAAACGGAGACGCGCAAGTTGTTGGACATTGTTGCCAAGTCTTTATACACTGATAAGGAGGTCTTCATCCGCGAGCTGGTCTCTAATGCCTCCGATGCATGCGAGAAGTTGCGGTTCCTCGAGACCGCTGGTAAGGTGAATTCTCTGGCGGATCCTGACACTCCCATAGAAATCAGCATCACCATTGATCCGAAGCATAGGCTTTTCATCATACAGGATTCTGGTATCGGTATGACCAAGAACGAGCTCATTGAGAATCTTGGCACGATCGCCAGGTCTGGTTCCAAAGAATTTATAACGTCAGATAAGTCAATGCCTCGGGTGACACTGCCAATCAAATCATCGGTCAGTTTGGTGTTGGTTTCTACTCTAGTTTTGTGGTCGCTGATAAGGTGGAGGTATTCTCTCGGTCAGCCGATGCTGCTGAGGACGGCGAAGGCCACGTATGGGAGTCCGATGGTCAGGGCAGTTTCACCATTAAGCCGGTCAAAGGCCTACCGCGCGGTACTAAGATTGTGCTTCACTTGAAAGAGGACGCTGCTGACTTTTGCAAGCCGGAGACTGTCAAGAAGGCTGCCTCCAAGTTTTCCAACTTCGTGGACTTTCCCATCAGAATGGCTGAGGGAGAGAAGGGCGATAAGGTTAAGATCAACAAGAATGATGCCCTCTGGATGAGGACTAGCGCCAGTGAGGAGGAGCATACCGAGTTCTATCGCTTTCTCTCTGGATCTTCGTACGGGGAGCCCATGTACTCGCTGATGTACCACACTGACGCGCCTCTCGCTATCAAGTCGGTCTTCTACATCCCGGAAGATGCTCCCAACCGTTGGTTGCAACAGGATGCTGATGTGCAGGTAATCTCATTGTGATTGGTCTTGTAGTTGGGAAGGTTCTGTACGTCGTAGGTGTCCCTGTATTGCCGCCGAGTATTGATCAAGAAGCATGCCAATGAGATCATCCCTGCCTGGCTCCATTGGGTTAGGGGAGTAGTCGACTGTGAGGACATGCCCTTGAACATCTCTAGAGAGAACATGCAGGATACAGCTTTGATGAGGAAGCTCAGCACTGCTGTCGTGAGGAGGATTTTGAGGTAGTCTCAACGAGGGTGTCGATACTCATCTTTGTGTGTCCTCATATTCCATCTCTACGCGATATGAATGGATATCCATCTCTTTAGTTTGGTAGGTTTTTGCGCCCTTCATATACCTCGAATATAAGCGGAAACTTCTTTAAGATTTGATTTTTTTTAAATTTGGGGTTTTTATATATTTCGGCGAGGATCGCATGTGGTCGGTAGAAGAGCGCTGGTGATGGTTAGGTTCCTCGCTGACCAAGCGCGTCGTGATGCCGATAAGTACAATGCTTTCTGGAGGAAGTATGGCTTCTACTTCAAGGCGGGTCTCCTTGAGGACCAACAGAACAACAACGGCAACCATAAGGACCTTATCCTCAAGTTGCTGAGGTTCGAGTCGAGCAACGGCAGCCCGGGTGCGTTCATGAGCCTCCAGGAATATGTCGATTCTATGACTGATGAACAGAACAACATCTACTACCTCCAGTCCAAGGATAGGAAGACAGCTCTCGCATCGCCTTACATGGAGGCCTTCGAGAACAAGGGCGTCAACGTGCTGCTACTCACTGAGGATATTGATGCCTTTGTCGTGAGTTACATCGAGAATTTCAAGGGCAAGCGTCTAGTATCTGTGGACAGTGAGGAAGAGATTGAAAAAGATATTTTCAAGAGCGATGACGATGAGGCTGAGAAGAAAGAGATGCCTGAGGCTAGTCGCGAGGAGCTCGAGTCATTCGTGAAGGAGGTCCTCGGTGAGCGTGTGAATGGAGTGAAGTTCAGCGATCGTCTAGTGAACTCACCTGCTGTGGTCACTTCTGCGATTTCCCCACAAATGAGGAGAATGATGAAGCAAATGATGGCCCAATCCGGCCAGGGTGATCAGAACGATGCCCTACAGGTAATACTACATACCCCGTAGTAGAGAGTATAGTGTATCTCTTCTTAGGCCATCCCTATGACCCTCGAGCTGAACCCAGACCATCCCACCGTGCGCAAGTTGGGCGATCTGGCTGCATCAAAGGCAGCTCGGTCGGAGGACATCGCCAAGGTTGCCGTCACTCAGCTTTTCGATAACGCTTGTATCGCTGCTGGTATGGTTGAGGACCCTCGTACTATCCTGGATCGCCTCCAGAAGATGCTGGACGTTTGTGTGGAGCAAGCTGTGTCTGCCGCGGATCTCACCAGTGCTGGTGGTGACAAGGCAACTCCTGTTGCAGAGCCGGCGAAGGAAGATGAGCCCATTGAGCTGAAGAAGATGGAGTGAATGAAGGCGAATTCGGAATTGTGATCATAACGCATTGTTGATGTCGCATAGTTGTAGAACTGTCGTCGTTTCCGCTGGTCTGGCACTCCCACTCGGGGTCTACCCGTTGGCGTTTCGTAGAGTGCCTGCTATCCACTGTGTTGATTACATACCCTAGTTTCCTCCTGCTTGGAAGTGACTGTTGGGTTCAGTAAAGTACGGCCAAGAGCACATTCAAGAGTGTTTTTGGGTGAGCGTGTGGCAAACGAATAAGGCAGTATGTATCAGTATAATCTCCGTTGTCGCGGCTCATGTTCACGGGGACATATAAAATCGATACTGATTGGGATTAGGCCAGAGTGAATATGATCGCCTCATGCTGTGGTGGGAAACGCTGCAGCTGGGCTCCGTGAAACTCTTCTTTGCCTCCGTCTACGGCAGTGTAGCAGCAGTAGCTCATTTTCTATTCTCAGTATTATTGAAATTGGCGATGTCGAAGAGTGACTAGGTAAAGCTAGCATAATCTGAGCAGATAGCTCTAGCTCGTTGTTGGTGCCTATAAGGAATTTCATTTGTACTATGAGAGTTTTTGCGTTAGTGCAAGTCGAGTTGCAAAGCGTCCCCTAGTTTTGTTATTGATAATGGTATCGCTCACGACCCTGAATTCCCACGCACCAACATTGTTTCTCCTATGCCTCAGCTCCATCGTCCTCTTCAATGTGAGAACAGTGCACATAGGCCTGTCGTATCTCCTGGAGCTCTGGCCGGTCTCTCTGTTCTGCCTCTCACCGTTGTTGGCAGCCCAGAGGCTCAGCAACTCGATATGGCCGCCAGTTGTGACCTTGTCTCTCGCCCTCGGCATCACATTCTGGAACATGGCGCTCGATTTTGGCCTTGGCTTGCTCATGGGCCTGGCTTGGGGCATGTTCTGGTGGTTGGCCGGCCTCTTCGAGAACCTCGCGTTCAAGGGTGATTCAGGTTACTACTCCCTCCGGATCGCTGCGATGTGGGTTTCGCTAGTGTATGCGACGACGCGCTGCTTGGGAACAATGATATCGCTATCGACCCCATTTCACGTGTCACCAGTCTTGATACAGCCCGTCGCTCTCTTCGGCTTTTACAGTCTGGAGTTTGCTATCATATGTAGCAACGCGGCTCTGGCGCAAGCTCTCACGTCTCACAATCGACGACACGTGCTGAATCTGTGGCAACTCGGGATTTTGGGGTGGGCCCTCGTCAGCGTACTACTCTACTATACGTCTATGATCCCTGGGCAGGCAACCGTCACTATGGCGGCAGTTTCCCCAGGCGGTTATTTGCCCAGTCCTTTCTGTGATGATGGTTATATTCTTCACCACGGTGAAAGAGTGCCGTGTACTGCGAGCATTGATGGGCAACTCGCAAGGACTCGGAGGGCCGTAGAAGAATACGGTGCCCAACTTGTTGTCTGGCCTGAAGGTTGGCTGGGACCCTTCAAGAACATGAGCACCGCGACAGACTTCGTTGAGAGAAAGCTTGGCCCGTTCGCCGAAGAACTACAGATTTCCATGACCGTCGGCGCAAGCACAGAAGGGTGGGGTAATCTCGCCTTGACGATAGGCCCTGCAGGGTTGATAGAGAACGTCTATGGAAAGCAGCATCCGGTCCGTATCAACGGTGAGAGGAGCGAGTTCGTGTTCGGTTACCCGACCATGCCGTTGAATCCCTTGCTGGTTGATCAGCATGTCAATGCACTTTCAGCCGACAGCTATGGTCGTCTCGGGTCGCTGATCTGCTATGATATGGACTTTCCGAGTGCAGCTCGGGAGCTTGTCTCTAGAGGCGCTACTCTCATACTGAATCCCTCCCAGGACTGGTCAGCCATACGTGATCACATCGCCACCGCCGTTTTCCGAGCCGTGGAAAACAGAGTGGCCATTGCTAAGGCCGATGTCGGCTGGGATTCGGCAATCATTGATCCCCTCGGGAACAGGGTCGTTGGTTTCGAGAGAGCTGAATGCACCGAGGAGGTCATTGTCGGTACCGTGCCCCTAGGGACAGGCACAACCCTCGCGGTGTACCTTGGGGATTTGGTCGCAGTATCTTGCCTCATGTTTGTCGCGCTCGCCCTAGTACAAGCTGCTGGGCAATGGGTAACTAGCAGGCGTCATGGTGAGTTAGATCATCCACTCTTGTCATCTGTGTGATTTTTGTTTTCATTTAATCTATATTTATTGTGTTTGCCATTACACAGGAGAGTATTGTGATTCCGGTGAGTTATGATATTGTCCGTAGAACAATTCTTGTCAGCCGACCAAACTCGGGTTAATAGAGGTTAACTTGTTAACCTAGGTTAAATACCGATGCGGATGGTCGCGTCGCTCCGCTACCAATTCGCACTGCAGAGATGTAACGGTGAGGCGAGCGGATCCTCCCCGCTTTCCTTATGTCATAACATGGTCATGGGCTGAAGGACCCTCTGTATTTTATCCCAATCCCACCACTGAGTGGTGAGTCAGCACTGGTGACCACTCCCGGGAGCGAGTACCGAAGAGGGTGCAGACACGCACTGTCGGCACACTCATTGAGTGTCACTCAGACTCTGTGTCTCTGAGTGTCTTTCCCTCATCGGTACTTCTAGGGTCGGTTCGTATCGAACCGCCCCACCAGACCCACGCGACCAGGAGTGGGATATTTAACACAACATCGGCAACTATCCGATAGGATACCTGACACGCAAGCTTCGGTTGAGTATAAATTCTATTTCGAGTGCAAATAGAGTTATCGCACCAAACAAACAAAAAAATAACATCACAGAGGTCTTTCTCTTCCACTTTATCACCAGTGAACCCACGGATAGCGGTGGCGTCATCAACCTGATGCACATATCGCCGGAAATTTCCATGCACCACTTACCAACCTGAAGCTTCTCTCCTTGTGGAATTCCAACCGCGCAGCTTTCGATGGGATTCACTCCTTTGCTGGAGTCCCTCAGAAACTGCCGCCCACGCTGAATGTATTCTTTAAGACCCCCCGCAGTCTACTGCGACTAAATGAACGGGGTCGTCATACGGTCAGCCCATATGCCGAGAATGGAATTTATCTTAGTTGTTTTCCATATCGTCGACCCCAGCAACAAGATTCGGGAGAGTCCAAGTACTCGTAAAGTTGAGGTTCCCCGTCGGTGAGAGACGGCATGAGACGGTATCCACGGAGGAATTAAAAAACTATTAAACAGCTTTGGTCAGTAGAGGACTCTCGTGCCTTACGAAGATTCAATGCGTCCTCTAACGCAAATGTCAACACAAATGCCCTTTTCTGGACCTCCGCGCAGTAGTAAATCTAACAACGTATGATGATGTGTTTTTCTATTTCACACAGTGTCAAGCCAGGAGCTGCACTACTCGGATCGTTGTAAGCGACACTATACAGAATATCAAGTTCTTGTTGAAAGTGAGCCGTATAATCGATCATAATGGCGAGCGCTACTTGCAACAACGCATAAGCAAATCCTGTCTAGCCGCATTGAACCCGAGTTGATTTTGGCGTCAGTGCAGTCGAATACACATCACGCAGTAATGGCTATGGACCCGTCCACTCCCGAGAACGAGGGCTCTCTCGACAGTAATGCAGAAATCTCACCTATAAAGCGGATTAGGGCGATGATGGACACGTGGATTCGGTAGCACTCAGGGGAGGGTCTCAGCTGATTGGGCTGACTGTCTATATAGGGACCGTGACGTTGTGGAAGCTCAGCTCGAGGACACGAGTCTTACGGATAGGAGTGTCGCGGCAGTCGTACGAATTCTGGTAGGAATTCGTGTCGAAAATACGTGTGGACCTAGATGCGATATTGTCAGAGCCAGTGCCCTTCATTGGAGCTCCTGGATGTGTCCTATAACGACGTCTCACTCACTAGCTGTAGTGAGATGTGCTTACTACTGTGTAGGATGAAAGCACTGAAGACCGTCTCTATGGTCGGCTGCAACTTCCCTTTGAGGTCGATAGGGTAGGGCAAATGCTATTCTCAACGGTTTCAATGCACTGACCTGAGGTACCTTATGACCGCTATTATGGAGCGCGAGTCTCGAGGCCTGCCGGCCCTCGAGAGTGTATCTCTCACGAGAACAAGTGGCATCATATCCGCAGCATTAGATGCGAAAAAGCCGGGAAAACCGAACCCATTGGTCGGTCGTGAGTGAAGCCGTATTGATGAGAGTCGTCACCCCTACAGGTCCTCAATCACCGCGAGCGAGTCCTACGAGATACCGGCATACAGCCAACGATCGTTGCAGCGACTGTGATGCATCGGGCCAGTGTTGAGCTGTGGAGGTTTCTGGTGGATACAGGCCACCCACAGGTAGTGCTTAGAAACTCCCTTGTCGAACGAGACGTCCTTACTGTTTGTAACGTTGACAGGTGTTACGGTTGATAGAAGGACGTGAAGGAATGCGATTGTATCGACCGGAGAATGAGGACCTGTGCCTCGCTGATGCTCTCTCTGCGGAGGCCCAGCCTCAATGGGAAAAACTCGAGGGGAAGACACTAGACCGAATGACTAAGGCGTTGCAAAAGGTCGCTGATTTGCTCATCAAGGTCATTTTCGGAAGTAGTTGTTGCTGATATTAGATTATATTGTTCGATTCGTCTGGGATACCTGGCCACCCGGTCACAGAGGGTGAGGCCTTTACTGCGGCAATGCTCATCTTACCGGCGACTAGGGAAGAGTGAGCTTCTTGGGGCTGTTTTCTATGGACAGGTTTTGCCGCCCTCAGGATCATCGATAACTCTACGGATAACTCTTCGGAGGATTTTGCCAAAGCGATGGTAATATGAGAGTAGTGGTACACTCGTAAATTTGAGTTCAGGTTGATGCAGTAGTTGAGGAGAGTTTGTTGAAACTTGAGGGAACGGAAAAATCGACAGCGAAGATCTCCCTGGGCCCAGTGTAAGGTCTCGCTGACATGATGTGTCTAGCCTTGATGCCCCGAATCAGGCCGGCCACCGGTGCTGCTCTGAAGGCTCAGAAGGCGGCACTTGCAAAACGAGAATTGTCGAAGTGCCAGACGTTTAATATTAAGCAGATTATCACGAGGAATGGTACCGTCTTGATGAACGTGTTGGAGCGTATGTTGGAGACTACCAGCATTAACGCTAGGGATATCGAGACCGGCTATACCCTCCTCGAGTGAGTGCCTCGTATTTGCATTTGTTGTAGAAAGCGTGGTAAACAGTATTTGTGATGGTACGTCGTGTTTCCATTGTCAAACTCAAAATTCTATATTGAGAAAAAATTGACAGATATCCATTATAGTGGGAGTACCTCCAGGGTAGCGCTGATTCATCGGCTCAGCCGATTCGGCTGGACGTAGGTGTTCAGTGAGTAAGTGAGCTAGTGATAAGAAGAGCAGTGCTAGTAGTCATCCAGGAGCGTAGTGATGTTTCCACCAACCATAGTAATGATAAATTGTAATTGATATCGATCTATTTCCTGACTGATTCATTGTCCGCATATGTGGACTCGGTGGGGATGCGTACTTCGCCGCAGGTATGCCTGTCGGACCCACAACATGGGCTTGGCTAAGTTGTGCTATAGGAGGGGCGCCCCTTTGGAGGGCAGAACGGAGAGTGGTGATACTCCAATCAATATAGCAACCAAACAGAGAGACTATATGATGATGGAATTCCTGTATACTGCCAGGCTTATGTAAAGAAAATGCTATTGGCGGGTCTGTAGGTATACATATGGTGTTCGTATTAATTCTAAGGACGCACTGGGTAAGGCCGCCCTACATGTAGCAGCATCTAGTAACGACGTGGACGCTATTTGCCGGCTTATTGAGTGGGGAGCTGATGTGAATCTTCGGGATAAGTAGGAGCCGATTCAGACACATTTGAGTGTACACTGTTCTGTTAGTCGCCAACGGACCCCTCTCCATTATGCAGCAGCAGGTGGACATATCAAAGGGACCATGCTGTTACTTGAGCTGGGGGCAGACCTCAACGCTGAGGACTACAAGGAGTATACGGCAGTGGCCCACGCTGAGGCTAATGATCACTTCCTGCTAATGGACAGGTGAGATCGTCATGATTTATTTGGTCTATTGGGCTTGTCAGACTGGCCTCTTTGGGTGGTCGGGGCCATAGACTCCATGAAATCCGCGGACAAGTACCGGCGCCTCCAAAGAGGAAGTCTACGAGGGAGCAACTGATGGAGAATGAGGCCATGGGAATCGTCACGGTGAGGGAATATTCTTTTGTTTCTAGAAGTAAAGGACTTGTGATAGAATCCAAAGCGGAAGAATAGTATCATATCGCCACTGTATGACCCTGCGGTGAAGAAGGAGATCAACAAGTATGCAGCCTTACAGGCCAAGGACGACTTAGAGGCCAAACAGTTGGCTAAGCTCGCCGCTAAGAAATTGGTGGGGACTTGGGGGCACTGATGGATTGTGTTCTACGCATGCAAGCATTTGCTGTTCATTTATGTATAGCAAGGTGTCGTGAGACTATGGTCTTGAGTTCTATCATGTTAGTGGATTCGTGAAGGGACTGTGGGTCAATCGAACCTGTTGAGAGAGAGTACCGGCTCGATGCTTTGAAGGAGATCTTCGGAGTGGGCTGGGCAGCTCTCTTGTTTGGAACGAATCATTAACGTGGATATTCAACAACATGAACTGATCGTGATCAAGGTTGCCGTCTCCCGTTGTGGGACACGGCCAGGACTCAACCGATGTACTGTTCTCTGGAGGAGCGTCCAAAAGCCCCGCTATAGTGAGACCGATTATTCACTCCGAGGTATATCATCATTGCAATGAGTCATGTGACGTGCTCACCAGTTGACAGTTCAATCAGAAACTGATGATTCCTGTCCATTATCAACGAACACAAAATATTTCTCCATCAAGAAAAATAATGTTGCCAGATCGTAAGCTGTAAATGCTGGGAATGATCCTGTCACTGAACCAGTTTACTATGATAGGAATGCAACAGATTCTTATCGGTATCAAATCATCTACGCGTCAAATTCTCCCAACAGCAACAATCTTGTCTGCAGTAACTTCGAGGCCGAATGGTGAGAAGGCTAGCCTTGCCAGTTTGCAGAACTGAATTCCGAATGGAATACCAATTATAGTGATAAAGCAAACTACTGCCGAAAGTATATTGAAAATGGCAATAATTAAACCGGGGATGAACCACAGGCAGTTACCAAGGCAGTTGCATGAACAACAGGCAGAATCACCTTTATCTTCAACCTGACAAAACGGACAAGGTGATTTGCCAAATAACATGGCAGAACCCATCAAGTGCTTACTCGGTAGCCGAATGGTATGAACGATAGCTTCGCCAGTTTGAAGCACTGCAGACCGCAAGGAATGCCGATTATAGTGATGCAGAATACACAACCGAAGACTAACCACAATACAGCAGAAGCCCAGCCACCGACCAGTATCCATAGAATATTGCACGTCCAATCACCACAGCCTCGACGATCTTCGACTCTGAAGACTTCAGCCATGGTGCGGCGATAACAACTGATTAACGTTGAGTAGATCTATCCTCACATCCACCAGGCCTCCTGAGCTTCGTTCAGTAAGCGAATGCTCCTGATTGAAGAGCATTCGCTCGCTGAACGAAACTTGATTCGTTCTCGAACTTGTCTCAACCTCATGTTCGGGTCCACGAGCTTGCAGTGTTGAATGGGAAAGGGAATTCCAATGATACATGTGAACAATATCACGCCGCAGATGATCTCGAGGATAGCAATTATAATGCCGGGAATCCACCACAGACAGTTGCATATACTATCATAATGATATAGCATAATTTACCGCCTTTGTCGATCGTCTAACGATCATAGCAGTCCGCTACCGTGACATACAGGTCATGTCAGACATGGCGGCTCGGGCGAGCGTGAGTCCCTAGGATAAGATTCAGACTCCGGAAGTTTCACTCAGGATTCGAAAGGTAGGAATGCAAACACACCTCTTTTTTCAGTTGAAAGCTTAGCGAGGCGCAGTGACATTGAAGTGAACATTGTAACGAGAGTGTACAAGACCAGAATCCACCGCGCAGAGCGGGCAAGCAAGCACGCACACACACATACATGTGTACGTGTACGACCGTCTCATAGAAATTAATCTAACAATCACCTGGTTGCACGGAGATCAAAAGTGCACCACTGACCCCGCATGTTTCAACCACATTCATACGACCGTAAGAGGATGTGCGCCGGGATCACATCGGCCACTACTGAATGAGAGAAAGACATCAGTGTTAAAGTCTACCGTAATGAAGACCAAACGGAGAACTTGCATAAAATTGACGTGAAAAGTCCTTAATGGGACCTCATCAGCTAACTTCACTACACAGAACGGATAATTCGCTCGGGAATATGCTAGATACGACGAGTTCTGATTGCAATTGTTCGAGTTGTGCCGTTTCTGATCAAGAACTGGATGATTCTGCATCAACTTGGAAGAACTCAAGATTGTGCTGCATGAAACCCTGATATCGAAGCTAATAGCGTTTGATACAAAATGATTATATTAAAATTCGATTCTGCGGAAGAATTCACCGGATTCTTGCCAATTCCAAGTAAACTAGACGTTGATCACCTCCACAGCGACAACCTTGTCTGCAGTAACCTCGAGGCCAAACGGTGAGAAAGCCAGCCTAGCCAGCTTGCAGTACTGAAACCCGAATGGAATGCCAATTATAGAGATAAAGCAAAGCACTGCCGAGAATATATTGAAAATAGCGATAATTAAACCAGGAATGAACCACAGACAGTTTCCGAGACAGTTGCATGCGCAACAGGCAGAATTGCCTTTCTCTTCAACCTGATCAAACAAACGGGTTTACGTGAGAAGGAGACGATAACCGTTCAGTGCTCACCCGATAGCCAAACGGTATGAACGACAACTTAGCCATTTTGAAGCACTGCAGGCCACATGGAATACCAATGATAGTGATGCAGAATACACAGCCAAAGAAGAGCCACCAGAGGGCCGCGACCCAGCCACCGACCAGTATCCATAAGATATTGCACGTCCAATGACCACAGCCTCGACGATCTTCGACTTTGAAAACTTCAGCCATGTGACTGCGAGAAGGACAAAATGAAGCTGAATGCAGCTGGATGTTCCCGACTCCCAATAAGGGTACTATCCTACTGCTGCTAGTTACCGAGAAACAGTTAAAAGAAAAGGTTGAACCACCCATGAACACAGATCGGTAGAATAATACCACAAACAGATGTCACTGATATTACAGCAAGAATGATCTCAAAGATAGCAAATACAATGCTGGGAGACTCTGGCATATAGTTGCAGAACTAGCCACTATCACGTAAAAAGACACCTCGTCTTTCAATAACCTGACCGTCTCTAAACTCTAGGTCACAGAGCAAATACACGAGAGTCATGCGGGACAGAGCGGATGTGTAAACTATGCTAGAAAGCTCAGCTAGATTTCAAGGAATGCCAAAATTGTATTCCAGAACTCAGTACTGATGCACCCCATCAGAGAAAGTGCATTACGGTAATGCACCACCCCATCAAGAATGCTAGCACTGTGTGACGCAGGTTGCGTTAAGGACGATTACAGCATACATGTAGGGGCCTTCCACTGGTGCGGAGAAGAACATCACGACACTCGTTGAGACCGACTCCTTCCACTTAGCACCGGACCGTATATTTCTACAACGACTATATTTCTACCACAAGCATCATCTCCGAGATTCGAAAAGTCCATAACGCTAAGATTTGACCTCCCTGATACCGAGGCTAGCGCTCTTAACGGCGACCTAATCAGTACTATTGATTAGGATTCCCCCGAAGCCGATTGCGTTACGCATCTCTTGCTTCGCTTTTAAAAGTAAGTTTTTCACACAAATTCGCCATAGCTATACATCGGTTCACACATATTGTTATTTGCCCAAGAGCCCCGCTTCCGTCCCCATAATTCTGACGCAAACTAGCCCGATCAGGTTTCATGCACTTGAGCGGAAGATGTTCATTCGTCTGAGACGAATCGTCTCCGTAACGCCACAGTATGAGCATTTCTCATCATGAATACCTGCACAATAGCCGGGCCTGTATTCGTTTTCTTCAGCGGCCTTGATGTCTTTTCCCGCGTTGAGGGTTACTTGGAAAACCCAAGAGTTATCCGCTGATCAGCACGCGTTCGAACCTCGAAGCCAGGAAAAGAGTTCCTTTCCCAGCTAGATCAAGTTGCATGGGATATCCTCCCTCCTTAGCATAGGTATGGGCCATACAATGTGGCCCACACGAAGCAGTGCACATCAGTGATGGGCACAGGCCTTCTCGTAGTAGAGCTTAGGAGTATTGCCAACATGCAATGATCAAAGATTGATCATCAACGCGTTTATCTACAACAACCCCGAGCTACGACTCTACGTCTCGTGTATCCCGCGGAACGGTTAAGTCCCGAGGTGAGGTGTACAGAGCGTTGGAGATCATCGTAGTTTCGTGGGGCTGTAGTACTTGGATAAAAAGTGATCCATGACCCTATTGGGAGCTGTTCACCGACGAGCCGCGGCAGCCTCCCCCCCATTGAAATATGCGAGCCGACCAACGACTAGTCAATGCAGACAATTTAGGTTGATGACGAATGTATGTGAACCTTCTCCTCTCAATACGAAATCCATCATACAACAGACATTCTTACTTGCTTAACTACAACACCTTCCTCAGATAAAATTAACGAAAAGGTAAGCTACGTTACTGATGTTGAATGAAATATTTTCGTGTTGATAGTTTTCCTAGTCCCGGGAAAACATCATTCCAGCGAAATCAAGATTCAAGAAAATAAACTCTTCAGAAAGTACATACTGTAAGATGGGCTGAGTTGTGTGTATCACAAGAGCAATGAAACGATGAAAGTGCGGATCTGCAGAGGCTGAAGCTCCACGTTTCCCCAATCAACTGCGAGGCCGCTGTGACCTCCTCCATCATAAACGGGGCTTTGACTTTGAACCCCGTGCGCGGACCATTTCAATCGTTCCTCCTCAGCGGTCTCGATGTCTCTGCCCGCGTTGAGGGTTACCTGAGGAGCCAAGGCGTTCAGATCCGCTGATCAGCACGCGTTCGAACCTCGAAGCCGGGACCTAGCTCAAAGTCTTTCAAGAGAGTTCCTTTCCCAGCTAGATCAAGTTGGACGGGGGCACCTCCCTCCTCCTGAGCATAAGTATGGGCCACGCGAAGCAATGCACATCGGCGATCGGCACAGGCCTTCTCATAGTAGAGCTTAGGAGTATTGTTGACATGCAACACCTCCAGCGTTAGAATTTGGATCTCTTGGGGAAAATGCTTGGAAGCTTTTAGCCCCGCAAGAGAGGACCAGTTATCGGCTTTAGGCGGGTTCTTGGGATCATCATGAGCGAAGACAGGCAGAAGAGGCAGACGGACCTGACGTCAGTCCATGCGGCTGTAGATGGGCTGAAGCGGCCACCTGGTGAGCCATCTCTCGATAGTTGTCGTGGGACTCTTCTTCGGTCGTCGACGTTCTCATGGGCTCTAGCAGGAGGCGCGTCTCACCCGTTACCAATTTAGGCAGGCACAATGACTCTACACAGTCTACCTCATCCAAAGGCTCTCCTAAAATAACTCGTCCTAAGCTCGCCATCCCACTCTCTCACCAACGCCTCGGCCATCGTCAACTAGCGTTCTCCTATGGATCATTATCTCGAGTTGGCCTGGTAGCAGTGAGGCTCCACCATGAGCTCGATCGGGCACAAGAGTGAGCTAGGGACACTACTATGAGCACGTACTCGATGCTGGGTGCCTACCTGCCGAGCGTTACTCCCTTCACCGACCTGATCGGAAATCCTCAGGCCTGAGTTAATCGGGTAATAGTTCATGGCCACGGGATCGGTAACATTCAGCTGCCAATCCTTGCGGTAGTTGACCCTGAGAATTAATATAACTCCTCCAAGCACGTCAAGTACCTCACCTGCGATGTACCCAATCCCTACCGTTGCTGTCCGTGACGAAGTCTCCATCATGATTATTGATGTCCGTGTCCAGTAGCTACGTGGGAGCAACCTGGTCTACACCACAGCCCTCTGTACTTACAAGGACGGCCTCCTTCCCAACACCGTCGCCAACGTCGATCGCCACATCCCACGATATCACCACAGCAGACTCCTTCGGCGAGATGCTCAAAGATAAGCTCCCGATGAGAGCTGGCGAATCTCCCTCATCCTCTTTCTCTAATGATTGTTGAGCAATATTCACCCGCAGTGTATTCCCATCATCAGCTTGGCCCATGAGCATCTAAAAGTCGTCCAAACTCGTTGCCTTAGCAAGGATATGATCACAGCAATTTCCCCCTCATGGGCCCCTCTCCCTTTCGCTAACTCGTCCCTACGCATTCTACTAGCACCTTGCTTACTGTAGGACTGAAGGCCACCTCCGGTCGGCAGGATCGAATCGATCTAACATATGGTGCCTCCGGACAATCGGGTCGGAATATGTAGGCCCCCGAGGCTTGGCCTTGACGTCCGTAAATGTCACCGCCATAACCCACAGAGCTTTCATAGTATGCAAGGGTGACGTTAAACTTTACCTGGGGGGGGTTGAAGATACGAAACTGCCCGGAACCCACCTCTAAACCAGCCTTCAAGTTCTTCAAAGTGAAGCGGTACGGTCCCCCACTGCCCCCATCTCCTTGATAAAATAGCTTATAGTTTTCGTTGCCAACAGTTGTTCTGGACGGGGCAGAGAACCGGCCACTAGGCTGTTGCTCTTGTTGTGGGCAGGTTGCTGTGTGCCCGTTGGCTCCGGAAGTGATCCTGTTGAAAGTAGCTCATCTACAGAATTTTCAGTTCGATTGAAATTCCAAGCCTAATTATTAAGAAAATACCAATTGCTCCAATAACGTATACAAATTGCTGATAAATCGCCCAAGAGTTCATCGAGTTACCCTCCTCATTAACAGAGGAATACGAATCACATTCATCAGTTGTAGGGGACGACCTCGAGACTGACAGTAGCAACGAGCTATTTTCGAGGGGGGCCTCTCGGTACATCACATTAAATTTGAATCACTATTGGGTAATATTTCGATACTCTGGCTGAATTGTTAAAGTGATGGAAAGTTCCATTTTCAATTAGAGCTGGGAATGCTGTAGTAGCATTGGTTGGGCGCCTTCTACCGGTAGATTGCCGACCCCATTGGAGGGACATCCTCTGCTGTGAAATATAGTGTAGGGGTAGGGGTGCCACGATGGTGGTCGTTATCAGTCACCCAGCTCTGGTCATGGTGAGAGGAATGAGTCGTCGATATCATAGAGGAGCTCCTACCTTTACACTCTGCCTGCTTGCCGCCTTCTCAACAGCGACTGCCACCCCTTGGCAGTGGCGCTTCAATGACCCCATGATGCTTCTCTGAACCGAATGACGCTCGATACTATCATCAGCCTCGGGGGACTCCGCTTTTTGCTTCGGTGACGCAATGGGCACCGATACG